CACTTCTCTCCCTCTCTTCTCCCCCCTTCTCTCTGAGATTCATCCGTCTGTTTGATGTTTCCATGCCTGTGGTTCTGCTCCTGCATTGAGCATCTGCCTCCTGGTGGACAGTGCATGTCATAGCTACCAGTCGAACTGTCGAACTGTGGAACGGTCGAACAGTCAGACACTTAGCAGGGCTGGCAGGCAGCCTGGGACCTCAGGGCGGGTGGCTTGTCCGTCTCCTGGGCCACAGGCAGCTGCAGGCGCTGGCGCCTGGTCCAAAGGTGGGTGGCTTCTCCGTGTCCCCTGTGATGCAGTGTGGGCAGCTTCTCCGGCCGCTGAGGCCTGGGATCACGGGGCAGGCAGCTTCTCTGGCCGGCTGCAGCCTGGGATCACGGGGCAGGCGGCTTCTTCGTCTCCTAGGCTGCAGCCAGCCTCAGGCGCTGGGGCCCGGCTTCTCAGTCTTCCCGAGTACATGGGGTAAGCGGATGTGGGGCAGGCAGCTTCTCCAGCCTGCTGAGGCCTGGGATCACAGGCAGGCAGCTTCTCCGGCCGCTGAGGCCTGGGATCACGGGGCAGGCAGCTTCTCTGGCCAGCTGCAGCCTGGGATCACGGGGCAGGCAGCTTCTCTGGCCAGCTGCAGCCTGGGATCACGGGGCAGGCAGCTTCTCTGGCCAGCTGCAGCCTGGGATCACGGGGCAGGCAGCTTCTCTGGCCAGCTGCAGCCTGGGATCACGGGGCAGGCAGCTTCTCTGGCCAGCTGCAGCCTGGGATCACGGGGCAGGCAGCTTCTCTGGCCAGCTGCAGCCTGGGATCACGGGGCAGGCAGCTTCTCTGGCCAGCTGCAGCCTGGGATCACGGGGCAGGCAGCTTCTCTGGCCAGCTGCAGCCTGGGATCACGGGGCAGGCAGCTTCTCTGGCCAGCTGCAGCCTGGGATCACGGGGCAGGCAGCTTCTCTGGCCAGCTGCAGCCTGGGATCACGGGGCAGGCAGCTTCTCTGGCCAGCTGCAGCCTGGGATCACGGGGCAGGCAGCTTCTCTGGCCAGCTGCAGCCTGGGATCACGGGGCAGGCAGCTTCTCTGGCCAGCTGCAGCCTGGGATCACGGGGCAGGCAGCTTCTCTGGCCAGCTGCAGCCTGGGATCACGGGGCAGGCAGCTTCTCTGGCCAGCTGCAGCCTGGGATCACGGGGCAGGCAGCTTCTCTGGCCAGCTGCAGCCTGGGATCACGGGGCAGGCAGCTTCTCTGGCCAGCTGCAGCCTGGGATCACGGGGCAGGCAGCTTCTCTGGCCAGCTGCAGCCTGGGATCACGGGGCAGGCAGCTTCTCTGGCCGGCTGCAGCCTGGGATCACGGGGCAGGCGGCTTCTTCGTCTCCTAGGCTGCAGCCAGCCTCAGGCGCTGGGGCCCGGCTTCTCAGTCTTCCCGAGTACATGGGGTAAGCGGATGTCGGGCAGGCAGCTTCTCCAGCCTGCTGAGGCCTGGGATCACAGGCAGGCAGCTTCTCCGGCCGCTGAGGCCTGGGATCACGGGGCAGGCGGCTTTTCTGGCCGGCTGCAAACTGGGATCACGGGGTAGGTGGCTTCGTCTCCCAGGCCGCAGCCAGCCTCAGGCGCTGGAGCTGGACTTCTCTGTCTCCCCTGACTTCTACGTCTCCAATAGGCCTGGAGCGGCCAGAGCCAGGATGCTTGCATGGTAGCTGTGGTTGCCATGCAAGTATCCTGGCTCTGCCCTTCGCCATCTTTGTTGGGTTAATGTGCATATCTCTGTATCGGTTGGTGGGTGTGGCAAAGGTACGGTCAATTTGCATGTTTGTCTATTATTTGTTAAGACTAGAGGCCCAATGCATGAAAATTCATGCAAGAGTAGGCCTTCCTTCCCCTGGCTGCCAGCACCAGCTTCCCTCTGGCATCCAGGCTTCCCTCCTCCGGCTGCTGACAGGCACCTGGGACCCAGGCTGCTTCCCTCAGGGCCCGGCTTCATCAGGAAGGTCGTCCAGGATGATGTCCAGAAGACATCCAGTCTAATAAGCATATTACCCTTTTATTATTATAGATGCTATGGTTTAGAAAGCAAAAAAAGTCATATTTATGCAGTTTGAGAGCTGAGTCCTGCCTAAGCCTAAAAGCATGACATCACCTCTCTATATCTGTTTTCTTACCTGTAAACAGCGATAATGATACAACAAATGCTTGTTAGGAGGACTTAATGAGCTGATGCATATAAAGCTCTTACGGTAGTGCCTAATCACATGGTAAGTTATAATAGGTTTAAAAGTAAATCTTTGGCCCTGGCCGGTGGTTAGAATGTCAGCCCACAGACTGAAGAGTCTCAGGTTCAATTCCTGGTGAAGGTCATGTGCCTCAGTTGCAGGCTCAATCTCTGGCCCTGGTTGGGGTGCATTTGGGAGGCAGCAAGTCAATGCGTGTCTCTCATATTGCTACTTCTCTCTCTCTCTCTTCTCTCTCCCCCTTCACTCCATCCTCCCCTCCTTCCTTCCCTCTCTCTCCTTCCCTCTCTCTCTAAAAAAAATCAATGGGGAAAATATCCTCAGGTGAGGATTAAAAAATAATAATAAAAAATAAACAAAATAAAAGTATTTATTTTAAATATATACTTGGGGTTGTTTCCATATCTTGGCTATTATTTAAACACTAGAGGCCCAATGCATGAAATTCGTGCAAGAGTAGGCCTTCCTTCCCCCAGCTGCCGGCACTGGCTTCCCTCTGGCACCTGGGACCCGGGCTTCCCTCGCAGCCCTGGCTTCACCTGGAAGGTGATCCAGAAGGACATCTGGAAGGACTTCTGGTCTAACTAGCATATTACGCTTTTATTATTATAGATGGGGTGCTTATATCTTTTTTAATTAGTATTTTTGTTTTCTTCAGATAAATATCCAGAAGTGGAATAGTGGAGTTGCTGGGTCATATGGCAGCTCTATTTTTAATTTTAGTCTAATTCTCACCTGAAGATATTTTTCTGTTTGGTTTTTAGAGAGAGTGGAGGGAGAGAGGGGTGGAGAGAGAAAGAAGCATCAATGTGAGAGAGACGCTTCGGTTGGTTGCCTCCTGAATGAGCCCTGTCCAGGGCTGGGGATCGAACATGCAACCCTCTACCACTGAGCCATACAGCGCAGGGCTATTTTTAATATTTTTGAGGAACCTGCATGCTGTTTTCTATAGTGGCTGTACCAATTTACATTCCCATCAACAGTGCATAAGGTTTCCCCTTTCTCCACATGCTTGCCAACACTTGTTATATTTTTTGTCTTTTTAAAATATTTATTGATTTCAGAGAGGAAGGGAGAGAGAGAGAGAGAGATAAAAACATCAATGAAGAGAGAGAATCATTGATTGGCTGCCTCCTATACTACCCCCTACTGGGTATGTGCCCAGACTGGGAATCAAACCATGACCTCTTGGTTCATAGATCAATGCTCAACCACTGAGCCACATCGACCTGCCATTCTTTTTTTGTCTTTTTTATAACAGCCATTCTGACAGGTATGAGGTGGTATCTCATTGCATTACCCTAATGGTTAGGGATGTTGAACATCTTTTGACATGCCTGTTGGCCATCTTTATGTCTTCTTTGGAAAAAGTCTGTATAAATTTTCTGCCCATTTTTAAAAATCAGATTTTGGTTTGGTTTTGTTGCTATTGGGTTGTGTGAATTTATTATATACTTTAGACATTAACCACTTATCAGATAGATGATTTGCAAATATTTTGTCCCCTTCAGTAGGTTGCCTTTTCATTTTTTTGGTTTCCTTTGCTCTGCAGAAGCGTTTTAGTTTGATGTAGTCCCACTTGTTTATTTTTGCTTTTGTTGCCTACACTCAATAGTAGTTTTTGAATGAATGAATGACTTAAATTACTAGCATGAAAAATTCACTTGTATCTCATCAGAAAAAGCTCTTCTAGAACCACTAAATATAACTTCAAACTGAAAGAATAGGGAATATTTGCAGATGTTGAAATGCAGAGATTGTCAGCTGAATTTAGAAATCACCTTTATGCAGATGGCTTTATCTGCACAAGATCCTTATTTGCAGAGCTGCAAAGAACTCATGAAAATTGCTTCTTAATATGTTCTTGTCAGTATAATAAAATTACATAACTTGTGTTTTTTGTTTTTTTGTTTTGTTATTTACAGAGTCAACGGTTGCAAGAAAGTTTGAAGAAAGTGAACCACATCAAAATTTTGGTATAGTATAAAGTTTGATCTGTTTTTGAAGTAAATAACTTTTTAAAAAAATACATATTTTTAATTGATTTCAGAGAGGAAGGGAGAGGGAGAGAGAATCATTGATTGGCTGCCTCCTGCACACCCCTTACTGAGGATCGAGCCCACAATACGGGCCTGTGCCTTGATCAGGAGTCGAACTGTGCCCTCCTGGTTCATAGGTCGACACTCAACCACTGAGTCACACCATTTGGGCTCCCAAATATTTTTGATCCCCTGTTAGTTGAATCCTTGGATATGGAACCCATAGGTATGGAGGGTCAACTGTATAACCCTGTACAGTATTTCTTATGCACACTGACATTTAAGATCATTGAGCTCAAAGATATAAAAAAAGAAAAAGCACTCGAATCACTCTGCCTTATCCTGAGGATGGGGGAATGGGTGTAGAATTTTGACACTGTTCTTCCTATTTCCTTATTGGGCTTATCCCTCCTATTAAATATTAATCCCCTCTAACTTTAAAGTATTAATGGATTTATTTTTATGAAAGTTAAAGGAATAATAGATGTGAAGACACAGGAATTGGCTTAATAAATAGTTAGCAGATTTGAATATATATCACGTTTGATCTGAATGACATCCATGGAGTCTTTTGAAAAGTCAGTAGAGAACATCTTGGGCTGACAACTTCCTGTCATCTTTCCAAGTCATCGTTTCCTGTTATGGCCCTATGAATGAGACATCGTTCACAGAGCTTTGGAAAATAGGCTTTATGACCAGTACTGGAATTTTTGAATGCCTAGAGATCTTTCTTCCCATGTTTCCGTCTCCCTCACCTCCTGAAGTACCACAGTCTGTCAAGGGCATTGTAGCTCCTTTGTATCTTGATTCCACAGTGAGGCTGACGGCCAGCTGTGTATTTGTTCAGTGGAGAACATGAACTTGGCACTGGCTTATCTAAATGCAGTGAATGTTTTCATCTGTTATAAGTACCATTTCAGTGATTTAGACCAGTGGTCACCAACCTTTCAGACCTCATGGACCACCAGTGGTCCGCGGACCACCACTTGGCAACCGCTGATTTAGAAAATACATAGATTCAGTTCTAGACTGTGGTTATCTACATTACCAGCAGGAACTTGCATTCTATTCGGGGAGTTTGAAAAGATAAGAAGTCCTTGTTTTCCTTTTTTTTATGAGTATAAAAAGTTCCAGTCAATCCTGACTGAGTTAGCATCATTTTTGGATTCTTAAAAGCTTTGGCTCTCTCAGCACTGATTCTAGTTCAACTTTTTCCTTGCCTTTTTTTATCTTTAATGTTATAATGATTTATATTTACCCATTGTCATTAAAATTTCCTTCTACTTTAATTTCAGTGTAGCAGTGTCACTTATTGTATTTTTTTTCAGTGTCACTTACTGTAATTCAGCAGTGTATTCTCAGAACTAGCTTATAATTATTTACTGAACCCTTGATTTTTGTTTCTCTAACAACTGAAATTAACCTTTAAACTTAACTGTTTATTAAGAAAATATAAAATCTCTAGCTGGTTTTTCAAACTCTGTTTGATTTTGTAGATGTTTGAAATGTGATGTTACTGGGTAATGTCAGATTCTATTTTTCAGGTGGAAGATGAGCTCAGTTCTCCAGTAGTAGTGTTTAGATTTTTCCAGGAATTACCAGGCTCAGGTAGGTGATTTTAAAAAGAGTGTTACTTTTGTGTTTGTGTCTAAAGGCTTTTAATTTTAAACTGTTTCAAGTAAAATACATAGTCCAAAATATTTTGATTACTAAAATCTTCAGTCCTCATTTCAGAAAAATATAATAATTTTCATAAGAATTCCAGACCTAAATGCCTTAGCATTTTGTCAGTAATTTCCTATGGTAAACCAGTGGTTTCCAAATTCTAGTCTCTGCACTAGTACTGGAATGAATGAAAAAGAGTCCCTTGAAAATAGAGGTTTGGGGCCCTACTTACTAGATATTTTGATTTAGTAGGTTGGATCTAGGAATCTCTTTTTTTTAGAATGTCCCAAGTGCCACCAGCCTAGTCCAGGGCACTTATTTTTCACCTGGATGGCCACAGTCACCTCTCAACTGATCTATCAACTTGATACATTCCCCGCATCCCATTCCAGACCATTCTCTACAAGGCAGTCCGAGTGAGCATTACAAGTGGAAGTCACATCGCGTCGCTCTCTGGGATCTTACTCTTTCAGTTGAATGAGGTCCAGGCTCTGTGCTAGGTGTTGTAAGGCCTGCAGTTCTAGCCTTTCCCTTTCTGACTTCCTCTTAGGCCACTTTTCCTCCTGCTCACTAGAGTAAGATCTTTGCACTACTGTTTCCCCACCTCTAGTACATTTCCCCTCATCTTCTGGCTGACTTCTTCTCCATTTAGGTCTCCATAATGTCCACCTCCTCAGAGAGGCCTTCCCTGCCTGTGCGAGCCCCCCTTCTTGCATGGCACTCAGCAATATTAGTGATTTCATTGCTTTCTTTATGGTCTGTTTCCTCAAGTAGAATGTAAACTCCAAGATGAAGAAAACTTTATCAGCCTTATATCCCTTGGGCCTGACCCAGCTCCTGGCACGAGTAGTCATCCAGATTGTTTGATGAGTAGAGGCTGATGCTGTTTTGAAGCCCAGCTATTGGGTGATTTCTCTGATTTACCTTGCACAGTGTTCAGTTGATAATTTATAATGTTATGCTTTGATTTCCTTTTGAAATACCTTGATAGAAAACTTTTTAAATAAAGAACTCTATTTGTGTGACTATATTCAAGGGTTATATTTTTCATGAAAAAAGTAACATTTAATTTAGTAAGATACATTTATTTTTAAACTGTGCCTTAAAAAACAAAATTTGTCAGCTTAACCATTACAGGTACAATTCAGTAGTATTAAATATATTTGTATTGTACAGCAGCTCTCCAGAATTTTTTCATCTTGCAAAACTGACCCTCTAACCATTAAACAGCATCTCTCCATTTTCTTCCTCTTCCCAGCACCTGGCAAACACCATTGAACTTCCTGTTTCTATTAATTTGACATCTTCAGGTGCCTCATAAAAGCAGAAGCATGCAGTACTTGTCCTTTGTGACAGCTTATTTCACTTAGTGTCCTCAAGGTTCATCCATGCTGAGCATGTGACAGAATTTCCTTCCTTTCTAAGGCTGAATTATAGTCCTTGTATGCATACACCACATTTTGTGCATCCATTCATGTAAGATACACATTTGATTTCCATATTATTTGAAACTGTTTTGTGTGTTGATGTTAGGAGCTAAATTAAATGAAGTTGGAGGGTTGCCTTATTTAGTTTGCTGTGTTTCTGGGAAGTGAATCCCTTCCTCTGTTTTTGTTTCAGATCCAGTGCTTAAAACTGTCCCAGCACCCAACATGGCACCTTCAACAGTCGGCCGGGAGGGACACTCCTGTGATGCACTGAATCGCTGGGTAAGAATGGCAGTTGTGCGCTTTACGTCCCAAATGGTTGGAATAACACATGGCCATGTCTGGGAAATGAGACCCACGGGGGGGGGGGGGGGGGGGAGCCTCCTGTGAAGGCGGGCTTGGTCCTGGGCTTCTGTTCCTAATCAGATCACTGCCTCCCATACCCCTGGCTCCGGCAGGTCTTCCCAGCATATTTCCTCAGTTTCCTCATGTGACCATTTCTTTGCTGTTAAACAACATGCACAATGTAGATTACAGTGCAGCCACTTTGGGGTTCTGGTGAGGGTCTGTGGTGATACCAGAAAGCACATAAGCCAGGCCCCTGAACACCGCCGGGGCAGTCTGGCAGTATGAATTGTGCTCTGGCTGCCTTTGACACTAAAATTGTACCTCCAAGGATCTCAGTCTAAAGAATGTTCTAAACAATGTAAGGATGTTTAGCACAGAATTATACATCCTAGCAAAACATTGGACATGCCCAACCTAGGGCATTTGGTGAATAAGTAATGGTATGTCAAAAGAGCCAGATTAAACCATGTGTCTGGGTGTTTATGAAAGAAGGGAAATGGTCATAAGTTATATGGAAAATGAAGATTACAACCCAGTGTATAGACTGTCCTGGTTTATGACAACAATAAGGCATGCACACACACACACACACACAGGGAGAAAGACAGTGTGGGCGTGCCACATGACATCAGTGGTATATTGTGGGTAATTTTTATTTTATTCACTTGGTTTACCTGTATTTCTTAGATTTTTCTACAATGAACTTAGGTTTTTTTATTAAGAATAGATGTAAAATTTACTGTTTTAAAAAAGGAATTATGATAGCATTCAAAGAAAATCAAAAGATTAAAGGAGCTTAACTGATGTAGCTTAGTGGTTGAGCATCGACCTATGAGCCAGGAGGTCACGGTTTGATTCCCAGTGAAGGCACATGCCCAGGTTGTGGGCTTGATCCTCAGTGGGGGGTGTGCAAGAGGCAGCCGATTGATGATTCTCTCTCTCATTATTGCTGTTTCTATCTCTTGCCCTCTCCCTTAAATCAGTAAAAACATATTTTTTTTAAAAAAAGGTAAGATTTCCTTTTTAAAAAAAAAGATTAAAGGAAATTAGCCCCCCAGGAGCTTCTTGAGTCTGGGGCTGAATGGACGAGGGTAGGTCTGAAGACACTTGATTCCCTCCTTGCAGGAGTGTGTTCATTCGACCCTTTTCCCTGCAGCTGGGAGAACAGCTGAAACAGCTGGTACCTATGAGTGGCCTCACCGTCATGGATCTGGAAGCAGAGGGAGTGTGTGTGAGGTTCAGCCCTTTGATGACAGCGGCAGGTAACTTGTCTCCATGGATTGCCCTCACTTTTGTTCTGGGGAACAACAGTGACATGTCTATGGAAGTCCAGGCTGTGGGGTTTTATAGCTTTCCCTTATGCTATTCTGTTCTCTTTGAAAAGGATTTTTCTTTTCTTTTGGGTTAAATTTAGGTAAATTAGCCTTCCAGTGTAATTTCTCAGAAACAGAGACTTCTGAAGTCACTTGAACTCCTGTGTTTTGATGTCTTGTGACCCTTTTCTGTCAGTGGTTCTCAGTCCAGACTATATTAGAAGCACCTGTGAAGCTTTGAAAACTCCCAGCGGCTGGGCCTCACCTACAGAGATTCTGATTTCCTTGGTCTAGAGTGGAGCCTGGGCATCTTATCTTTAAAGGTTCCCTTGGTGCCCTAACCGGTTTGGCTCAGTGGATAGAGCGTCGGCCTGTGGACTGAAAGGTTCCAGGTTTGATTCTAGTCAAGGGCATGTACCTCGGTTGCAGGCACACCCAGGAGGCAGCTGATTGATGTTTCTCTCTCATCAATGTTTCTAACTCTATCCCTCTCCCTCTCTGTAAAAAAACCAATAAAATATATTTTTTAAAAGTTCCCTTGGTGATTCACATAGGCCAGCAAAGGCTGAGAGCCACTTTTAGTCATTTAAGAGAGATTGTAGCTGAACGTACCTGGTCTCTGATGACAGAGTCCTGGGTATTTGTTCCCATAGGCCGCTTCATACCTGCAGGGACTTTGAGCAAGTTACTTACCTCCAGGCCTATTTCCCACTACCTCATGGTAATGGTGTGAATATTCAAATGAGAACATGTATATGAAATGCCTTAGTGCTTAGCATATTATAGTAGGCATTTAAAAATAAGCTGAAAAAAGATGTATTAAATTTTTGTTGTGCTTTTATTTTGAAATGATTTAGACATTTTCAGAAAATGTTTGATGGTTTTTCATGAAACGTTCTCAACATTTTGGGATATTTTCTCAAACACATCAAAGTAGGGAAGTTAGGCGTCTGTCTTGCAGAGAAAAGCTGTTGTGAAGATGGCTGGTGGCCTTGGGATTCTCCAGGAGTCTCTGCTCCTGCCGCCCAGCATCCTCACCCAGCCCGAGGCTTGGTCTCTGACACTGGAGAAGCAGGCTGAGGGCACCGAGGCAGCATGTACTGCGGCTCAGTGAGGTCATGCGCAGTGTTCGAATCCACAGAACTGAGGGAGCCATGATGGTGCCAAGACTCTTGGATCCCTGCAGCCCTGAGACCTCTCAGGCTCTGATCTTCAGAAGTGACTTGGTTCTGTCTTCATCACCCTGCCCTTCCTGCCTCCCGCCACAAGCACACCAAAATACCTTTCTTCCAAGATGTTAATGTACAGAAACAACTGTATGGTTGCCTCTTTGGTGTTACTTGCAATAGGATGTTTATGTTTATAACTTGATTTAAGCAAAATCATTCTGTGGAAAGAATCTCATTTTTACATTAGAGTTTCATTGTGTATTCAGTTGGAGGGGCTAATTCTATTTGTAAGAAAAAACTGTCTGCACCTGGAGGATCTGGCTATATAATACCAGATTCTTCCATATCTAGGTTTAGTAGCTTTTTATTTTTTTAGCTCCTCAGCTCCAGCTAATTGGATGTACCTAGAACTGTTGTCCTTTCTGGTAAAGGAAGTGGGTGCCCTGCCTCTAATTTTTAGCTATTCCTTAAGCATTTCTCTAACATTCCGTGAATGTTTTCAGTTTTAGGAACTCGGGGAGAGGACGTGGATCAGCTCGTAGCCTGCATAGAAAGCAGGCTGCCGGTCCTGACCTGTACACTACAGCTGCGAGAGGAGTTCAAGCAAGAAGTGACAAGAACAGCAGGCCTCTTACACGTTGATGACCCTAACTGGCCTGGAATAGGGGTTGTCAGGTATGGTTTCTGCTTATTGCCTGATGTGAATTTCTCTTTGCTGTATAAAGACCATGCTGGGTCATTTTATGAACCAACTAAAAATCTCAGATGAATATGTGTAGTCACAGTAAAAACAGCTAATGAATATTCATTTAGAAGGTTCTGGTCCTGCCCGATTTGGCTCATTGGATAGAGTGTTGGCCCACAGACTGCTGGGTCCTGGGTTCAATTCCGGTCAAGGGTATATACCTCGGTTACAGGCTCAATCCCCAGCTTGCAGGTGAGGGAGGAACCAATTGTGTCTCTGTCACATCAATATTTCCCTCTTTTTCTGTCTTTTCCCTCCCTTCCACCCTCTAAAAAATGGAAAAATATCCTTGGGTGAGGACTAACAACAAAAAGATCAACCAATGAATGCATCAATAAGTAGAGCAACAAATCAATGTTGCACTTTCCCTCGCTCTCTCAAATCAGTAAGTAAATTAATAATAAAAAAGTAGTAATTCTGGCACTTAAAAAGCACAGGTAGCAGGCGATGGGACCCACCCACTGCACTCAGTGCAGTAGGAGTTGCTGCATGTGCTTTTGTGCCAACTCCCCGTCACTAGGAGACATATACAGGTCTACAACTGACAGATGGTTCCTGTCCGCGGCGTGTGAGGAAAAGGGCTGGTTCCCCAGCGGAGCAAACTCCTGCATCCCCTGTAGTCAGTGTGCTGTCCTTCCTGTGGCTGCTTTCCATTTCCTTTCAGGATGGGGGACAGCTCCCTTTTTAATCACAAATGATGAGACTTCAGACGTTGGCCTCTCTGTAAATTTCCTGGCCTCACAGACTTGCCTTTCCGTGAGACAGCCTTGAAAGTTTTGGTCTTGAAACACCCCAAGTGGCTCCTTTGTCCCTTTGCCTCATTCCACATTCTTGGTAACCTCCCGTGGCTTAGACTCCCCCAGCGTCTGAGAGACGTTTGTTATTCTAGACTTAAACACTGTTGTTTGATGTTGTTTACAGGTATGAACATGCTAATGATGATAAGAACAGTTTGAAATTAGATCCAGAAGGGGAAAAAATCCATACTGGACTCCTGAAAAAGTTAAACGAACTAGAATCTGACCTTACATTTAAAATGGGTAATTACTACTTTTATAAGTCAACTGTTAACTTTGCAAGGACATTTTTAACTGGCATACTTAGGAGAAAATGGGCTTTATCTTTTTGAGAAAACATTATTTTAGTTCTTCCTGAGGGGTGAGCTAGCTCCTTTCCCCTTCCGCAGCCTCTCCAGGCTTCCCGTCTCCTCGTTAGAACCACTTTCCCCGTCCCAGAGGGAGGTTCTTTTGCATGTACAGAGAAGAACATGCAAAATGTACTGAGAAGTGGGTCGGTGTCTGACTCATGACAGGTAACCAAGTTGGTCTGTTGTTTCTTCCCACAGGCCCTGAGTATAAAAGCATGAAGAGCTGTATTTACATTGGCATGGCGAGTGATGACATAGATATTCCCGAACTAGTGGAGACCATTGCAGTCACAGCGCGAGAAATTGAGGAAAACTCAAGGGTCTGTAAGACTAACGAAAAATCTCGTTCCTTTTCTAGGTTTTGCCCAGGCAACTAGCTGGAGTCACAAATGTCTGTTCATTCATTCTTTCCCCAAAAGTTTTTAAACGTTTGCTATGAATTAGGTATTGTTCCGGGCATTAGGAATGCCAAGTGGGTTTGACATGGTACTTTCCTTTGGGGAACTCACAAGCCAGTGGGGGAGAGATATACATATAACAAAGTGAGGTGGTAAACGCTATAGAAGTTAGCGGTAGCTGCGCATTCAGAAAGATACTTTCACTGTCTGACAAGGTCAGGGATCACTTCCTGGTTGTAGCTGGGTCCTGAGGCTGAATGAGACAGATGTTTGATAACGAACCTCCCACCAGTGACAGACCTGCTCCTGTTGGCCAGTTGGCGTGGAAAAGCGGGCTCTGAGGCTTAAAGCTGGTTCTCCAAACCAGAGATTGGAGTCACTAGAAATCACTCACAAGGAGAGAAAAGGGACCAAACCAAGATTGATCCGAGAGGAGACAGAAACGTGTCACGTGTGTCACTTTTGGTAGGGTGGGGGAGAGAAGGACATTTGATTCATTCTTGAATGGACTTTGCAGTTTCTTCCAAACCTGACTACCTCACTTCTGACTCCATTTCCACGAATGAGGAGCCACATGTCTATTTTCTAATAATGTGACATTCAGAGCCCGAGGATGGTTATTTCTCCTCTCTGTTCCCTGGCTGATGAGGCTGGTCACCAAGGTCTGTCTGCCTAGACCTCCTTGAGCCTTTTATCGTCTTCTGTTTGATTTTCTGTTTATTTTTACACTGACCTTTTCAACTGTAGAATTCCATTAGAAAAATGTCCCCAGTGCTGTGTTAATAGTTCTTCTAGGCCCCAGGCAGTAAGTTTAGATGACAAGTAATGCCTTTCTTGGTCTTAACACAGCTTCTGGAAAACATGACAGAAGTGGTTCGGAAAGGAATTCAGGAAGCTCAGGTTCAACTGCAGAAGGCCAATGAGGAGCGCCTTCTGGAAGAGGTGAGTCTGCTGAGTGGCTCAGGCTGGGAGCCAGACTGGACAGGGTGGTGATGTTGAGCAACGTTCTGTTTTGCAGGGAGTGTTACGGCAGATCCCTGTAGTAGGATCCGTGCTGAATTGGTTTTCTCCAGTCCAGCCTTCACAGAAGGGAAGAACTTTTAACTTAACAGCAGGTAGGACTAACAGCCTCCTCCCGGATCTCTGTACCTGGAGAGTTTGGACCAAATGCCCTGGATCCCGCTCATGCCGACAAGCCTTGTGTGTGTCCCATGCTTTATCCTGGGTCCTGTGCCAGGAATCTGCCTGCCCTTGTGACTTTCTCCTCTCCCCTCTCCTAACCCCTTGGCTAAAATGGCCCAAAAGCAGATACGCATTGCCCACAGCAGATCTCTCTTCCTGGAATCCAGTGAGAACATGTTTCCTCAGCTGTTCAGGCCCTGAGGACTGTCTGGGCATTTGGTGTCGGTGTGAACATTGCAGTCCTCATTAGTGTTTTGCCCAGTAAAGTAATGCCTTTGCCCAGTGAAGACCATGGTCTGTAGCACTGGACTATTTGATTTCAAACCAGGCAACCAGCAAGAATTAACAGTTGCTGGGGTTTGGGGGAGATGATATCCAACAAGACTCCTTTCCTGTTCTACCAGGGCCCCTTCCTGTGTACCTTCCCCAGGAAATGATGACTCCACTGTGATATGACAACCAGAGATAATCTGACTTTTAAAACCTGCCATGCCTCAGCCTTTAGCAAAGAGGCATTCATTCCTTGTTGCTAAAGCACTTCCAAGGGGGAAGTTAGGGTGTTTCCCACTTGGGTCTGGTTCTCCAGGCGTGCTTAGGACAGCCACACTGCTGGCTGTCTTCACGTGTACACAGGATAGCTGGAGAGACGAGGATGAAACACTCCAGCAGGGCCGGGACTCCTGAGCACAGCTGTGAGGTGGCTTTCTCCAGTTCCGGCATGTTTCAGGAGTACCGAAGTCTCCACTAGTCTGTGTGAGGCTGCATGGCTGGAGAAAGCTCAGTAGGGAACAAGGCTGAATGGGAGCATCTCTCAAGGCAGTCCGTGTCAGAGTTTCCACCCACCCACCCCTCTTACCCTGGCAGGCTCTCTGGAGTCCACAGAACACACGTATGTCTACAAAGTACAAGATACAGGAGTAACACCGCCTCAGACCCCCTCAGGCACTCGAACTAAACTCAGATTTCCAGGTATGTTATATCTTCACTAGAGGCCTGGTGCATGAATTCGTGCATGGGAGGGGTCCGGCCGGCCGCCCAAATGGGGGCCGATTGGGGGCGGGGCCAGCCGGGGGCCAGGGGTCTAATGCTGGAAGCTATAGCTTCCCCCAGCTGGATCTAATTATACTTTAAGGGTGGCCAAAAGAAAACCCACAACGAACTGTTTTGCATTTCACGTGCCATGAGATGAAATTATGTGTTGTTTGCAAACATATGTCAAGATGGATGATGGCCCTTTAATGATTTTTGCGTTCTTCCTGGGGCTCTACCCTCAGTTTCCCAATATGATCTTCATGTCTGTTTGTTTAAAAGTTTTTGTTTTTGAATGTGCCTACTCTTCGCTGTTGCTCCTGGCAGCCTGCAGGTCCTCTTCACCGCCCCATTTAAAGAAAGATTGAAAGCTCACCTAATCTGCAAGGCACTGCAATTTCACAAAATCCCCACCCGGCCTCTCTACATTCCTCCGCAAAGGGCCACCATCCCGTTAATGCTGAGGTCGCCTTTTTGGCTAACTTGGAAGGTCTCCCGGGGCTGCGGGTAATGGAGGGAGAATTCCACACCTTGGCTGCAGTATTAGCAGAGCCCTCGGGAGATTCTGGTCTGGGTCAGAAGGGACTGATAATTATTTTCGTGTGCTTGCACTAAATGTACATGCACCAGGGAGCCAGGCAGTGATTTAGGGGTGTTGGGCCTATCGAGGTCGGGGCCAGCTGGGGGGAGGGGCCTCAGGCAGTTGGCAGCTGGCCCTGCCCCCAATTGGGATATTGGGGGCCGATCGGGGGCCGGGCTGGCCAGGGGTGGGGCCGATCATGGCCCAGATCAGGCTGGTTGTCTGCCACAGTGTGTGTCAGAGCCACTGGTCGTTCTGTTCGTTCTGCGCTAATGGTTGCTGGGCTTTTATATATATAGATGTTTGAGTTCATTAGTATTAAAGAAAATGGTTGGCCCTGGCTGGTGTGGCTCAGTTGGGCATTGTCCTGTTCACCAAAAGGTTGCTGGTTCAATTCCCAGTCAGGGCACATGCCCTGGTTGCAGGCTTGATTTCTAGTAAGGGGCATGTTCAGGAGGCAGCCAATTGACGTTCTACTCTCACATTGATGTGTCTGTCTCTCTTTCCTTTCCCCTTCCCCTCTCAAAATAAAAAAAGAAAATGGTTTACCTTTCTCTTGGAAAAATAGACTTTTGCATCATTTGATGTTTTTCCATTTGGTATTGCCTACACTCCTTTGTTTTCATGGTCTTTAACCCAAAGTTCCATTTCTCTTCAGTTAAGACCAGCTGTCCCTTTTTTTGTTTTTAATTTTTAATATATTTTTATTGATTTCAGAGAGAAAGGGAGAGAGATAGAAACATCAATGGTGAGAGAGAATCATTGATTGGCTGCCTCCTGCACGCCCCCTACTGGGGATCAAGCCTGCAAACCAGGCATGTGTCCTTGGTTGGAATCAAACCTAGGACCCTTCGGTCCACAGGCTGATGCTCTATCCACTGAGCCAAACCGGTTAGGGCCCAGCTGTCCCTTTAAATACCTTTCCAGTAGCCTTGGGCTTCAGCCTTGGGAGAATACCTCTGTAGCACTCCCGAGGGGGAAGTTAGGGTCTTGAGAGCTGACATCTGTTTAACCTGGTGTTTACTCTCCAAAGTCCTAGCCTTGGGAGCATGTCAGTCCATTATCAACTCTTTTCTTGTCTCATTACTTAAATGCTTCCAAACCAGTAATTCTGGGGATTTCCACTGAACGGTTGGAATTGATAAAGCAATCTCTTGTTGCACAGATAGCTTTGTTGCAGAAGTATCCTTTATCGAACTTTCAGTGCTGTTTATCCCTTCTTTCTTTAGGCCAGAAGCCTTTTAAAAAGTCCCTAAGAGGCTCAGATGCTCTAAGCGAGACAAGCTCAGTCAGTCACATTGAAGACTTAGAAAAAATGGAGCACCTGTCCAGTGGGCAGGAACAAGAGGCCCTGGAGGCTAACAGCCCTGAGCAACACCCTGGGGCTCCCGCCCCTCAGGAAGCCGAGCAGACCGGAACCTTCCAGAACAGAGCCCAGGGCCCAGAAGATGACCGCCCACAGGTAGAAGAACCGGAAAACTTAAGATAAAATTCAGTGTTTGGTTTGAGACTGTACTGAACTGAATATTGTGTCATGGAAGATAGTTATACTGAAAATGTGAACTGTGCCACATGCTAATACAAGAGAAATTACTGTTATTTGTGCTTTAACTGGCTTTTTGCACACGTATGTGCAAAAAAATCAGGGTAACTGATTTGTCTAATGTAATGGGTACAGAGAACAACTGTTGTTTCTGTCTATCCAACTGTAGTAATAACTTACCCCCAAGTTACTGTAAACACTTTTTATTCACAAAGAACACTCAGAATGTCAAGTGTCTGCCACTTGCAACACGTGCTCTTATCTTGTAAACATAAATTATTAGTTACACATAACTTTCTGGTAAGACAGCTTTCTTTAGAACTCTCCGGGTCCTCTGCTGTACCGCTGCAGAGAGACAGACAACCTTCCTTGCCATCTACTTTAGTTGGTGTTTGGTTTGATCAGGTTGCAGTAAACAGCTGGACCGTGTTGGCGTGAAAGAGAGTGGGTTTCAGTGGAAGTGTAAATGAGCGTCAGAGCCCTCTCTGGCCGGCCCCAGCTGCTGCTTTCCCTGAAGACATAAGTAAGGACTGTGTCCGCTCAAGCTGTGGCAGGCTATCAAGCAAGTTAGACTGGGCAGTGCTTCTGTCTGTGACTTTCCTCTGCCACAAATCCATTTCCCCCTTTATATACTATTTCTAAACTAACTAAATGACTCCTCTATTAAGAGAAACTGTAAAGACTCTTCTTGACCATATATATGTATATTTTTAAATATTGGTAAAGCTTTTAAATTGGCACAAGAGAACAGACTGTGCTCATTTCTATGTTTAATATCTGAAAACCTAATAGATGCTACTCCTAAAAGCCTAATATTTAACATGCTGTGTAGCACCCAGTTAAATTTAAATTCTAAAATAAGTATACTTTTGACCTGCTTCACATGGGAGCTTCCATAGCTTTGTCCCACTAGCAGCTCACCCCTTCAGGCCCAACACACAAATAAGAAAGAGAGAAGTAAGCTTTCTCAGGCTGATCAAGCCAGACTACTGCTGACATAACTGGTTAGCCCTTCCATGACTGCCCATGTCTACTTTTCCAGAGGACGGCACCCCTTCACTCACCATAGGCAATGGCCCGTGCCTTCCAGTCCAGCAGTCAGGCTTGAGAGACCTTGAGACGGTGGGAATTTACACTGGGTTTGTGGACTGTAGTATTGGAAGCCTTAGTTACACCACAGTAAGCCTATAATTACACTCTGATTTGATATGATTTCTGACATCTGGCATTTGTCAAAATGCAATTTTCCTTTATCTTTTTTTGTGTGTGTGTGCAGATGATTAAACAAAGTCTTCCCTGTTTATTTGGTGCAATGAAGTATAGCAGATAAAATGGGGGAAGGGGAAATTATCACCTTTAACAAGATTAATTTTTAAATGTTTTTATATATATTTGGAATTGTTAAATTGGTTTTGCTGAAACAGAATTTCACCCTTGAGATACTATTTGAATGTTGGTTTCAATAAAGGTTCTTGAAATTGTTCCCAGTGAGTTCGGTTCATAAATTTTACTATCAGTAAAGCATAGTGACTTCCTCTTGGATAGACAGAAACTTCAGAAAAATAAAGATTTCTGAAAAATGTAACTTGCATAAAAATCACAATTTGGGCATTTTAACGACCTAATACTTAAAAGAACAGATTTATCAGTGGTTTTGTGTAACACTCGGATTAAATTTATTCTCATGGGAAATTATCTATTTTAGAGATAATTATAATGCACGACATTGAGATCAAATCCTGCTTGTCCTTCTGAACCTTCCATCCCATTCATCTAGAAGTACATTTGTATCAGTTTTGGATTTGATGCTTCTAAAATATTTTGGGGCCAAGAAAAACACCACCCTCAGTGAGATGTATAAATTCTGACTGAACTTTATTGCATTTTAAATATTGTTTTTAAAGCAGACTCAATTATAAATTTCCCTTTATTCACTAATTTGGTAGAATTAGAATTACCTAAGTAACTGAAATAACTGTCATAGAATAGTGAGCAGATGGCTTCTTCTCTGCACCTTATCACTAACCAAAAAGGAACAACTGGGTGTCAACTTTTTAGCAAAGCAAAAAGTAACAAATGCCTTTGCCAAAATAAGATTTTATTTTGAAAGTCATTTGAAAGACACTAAGACTCAACGGATGTAGATTTCAAATTCATATTCTGACCAACCCCCACCAATGGTCTCTGTCATGCCAAAAAGTTGCTTTCTTTGGTAATTCCTATTTTTAGCTTCTTGGAGAAGGGACCTTTTCCCATAAGCCATCTTCATTTTTTTTGTAGAGTAGAGCTTTATTTCCAGGAAATAGTGTATTTGTTGGAGATGGGTATTTTTTTAAAAACATCAAGGTGGTTCTAATATGTTCAACAAAGTGGGGGGGCTCAGCCAGAGGTGAAGTGGAAAGGTTCTGGAAAAACAAGAGATGAGGCATGAGAGAATAACCTCGCTCTGTTCCCTGCTTTGATAAAGATGACAAACATCCCTGTGTTCCTTAAACATGAATCAGGATGTTCTCAGATCACTCTATAAACACGTGTAAACTGTAAAATACGTAAGAGCAGGTGTACTGGGTTCATGAGAAAAGAGCAGTTGGCTGCTTACTACTTCACCTATGCAAGTGTCTACCCAGGACATTACTTATCTCCACTGATACAAAAGTTAAGTGGGGTCTGCCAGTGGCATCCTAAAAATAAATACTACCCAATGAAGGGAAAGCAGCTATTATTTAGTCTAAACCCTTTTCTTTCTTACAGATGAGGAACCAGGGTCCAGAGAGTTAAGATTTGCCCAACTTGTAAATTCTCACCTCTAGTATTTGCTTATCATCTTGCTGCAACCAGAAATCCACATGTGGAAATGGCACCCAGGAATACGGTCCTATACGAAGTTGTTCTGTCTTTGCATCGTAAATACTAACCATCTGAAAAGAACATGGCAAGGACAGATTTAAGGAATGCTGTCAGCTTCTCACACCCTACCATTAAAGCATGCTCCAGTGTAGTCTAGCAGTTAAGGCATTTATCTGAAAGATAAGCTTCTTTACAATTATGTCTCCTAATAACAAGAGCTGCTACTTACTGAATACATCCAACTGTCGGGTACTGCGCTTTGTGGGTAACAAATATTATTTTGTTTAGTCTTGACAACAATCCTGCGTGAAGATGGCATTTCCCCCATTTTGGTTGAAAACCTGAGGCTCAGAGATGGGGCACATAGCCCACAGTCCCATTTCCAGTAAGTGTCAGAGCTGGGCCTCAAACCCAGGTGTGTCTGACTGAAGTCCATGTTCCTCCTGACTACATAAAACACTGCCCTGTTATTTATACCCAAGTAACTAAGTTACCTTGCAACTTTATACAATGCCTGCTGTCCCATCAAAAGAAAGGAAAAACCATTTGTAAAAATGCTAATTTACCAAATGATCAACTAACTCCCTAAATTCTCTAATTTGTCAATGGTCATTGTCAGTTTACCCACCAATGTTCTATATTGGTTACTGAGATTGAAATATATTCTGAATATTAGCTAAATCAAGGCTATGATACTACTTGAGAAATTATAAAAGGAACTCTAAAAATGTTAAAGGGGCCCGGCCAGCGTGGCTCAGTGGTTGAGTGTCAACCTATGAACCAGGAGGTCACGGTTCGATTCCTGGTCAGGGCACATGCCCAGGTTGCAGGCTCCATCCCCAGTACGGGGTGTGCAGGAGGCAGCTGATCCGTGATTCTCTCTCATCACTGATGTTTCCATCTCTCTCTTCCTCTCCTTTCTTCTCTGAGATCAATAAAAATATATTTTAAAAAAATGCAAAACAGGTCACTCTGAATCCAAACATTTTCCAATGAAACTGTCAGCATTTCATGAATGAGCAGATCTCTTTTTTGGGTGCTTTGAATGTGATTTCTATTTTTTTCACAGTTTTACACGCATTTTTAAAGGATTCTTTCACCTATTCCTCAAGCGGGGTATGTCAGTCTTGGGTTTTTATTTTTCTAACTTTTAAAATTAAAATGTTATTTAGCCTGGCCGATGTGACTCAGTGGTTGAGAGTCAACACACAACCCAGGACGTAACAGTTCGGTTCCCGGTCAGGGCACATGCCTGGCTTGCAGGCTCGATCTCCAGTAGGCCAGTGGTCGGCAAACTGCGGCTCGCGAGCTACATGCCGCTCTTTGGCCCCTTGAGTGTGGCTCTTCACAAAAACCGTGCAGGCGCGCACGTACAGTGCGACTGAAACTTCGTGGCCCATGTATAGAAGTCGGTTTTCAGCCTGGGCGAGTCCATTTTGAAGAAGTGGCGTTAGAAGAAGTGGGGGGTGTCAGGCGGGCGTGCGAAGGGAGACGCGGCACAGGTGGGCTGCAGGATACGAAGCGTGGGGGGAGGCGCGCGCGATTCATGCACGAGTTGAGTGAGCCAGTCCGTCAGCAGCCTCATTGTGCAGTGGTTAGTGCTAGTCGTGTCCACAAATGGCGCGCAAGTGACAAAAGTACCTACTCGAAGCATAAAGTTACCTGTATTTTTCCAACCAGCTACAAATCCTACAGGTATTTTTGTCATTAATTTAAGAATTGTAATTCTTTTGTGTTGGTGGCTTTATTATTATAAAATGAAACATTTTTTTAGGTGCCCTGTTTGACATGGCTACAAAGAAGCAGCAAAGAAAAACAAGACAAAAACTGAATTTAAGATGAATGTACCTACCTATATAGTTTAAGTTTAAAAAATTTGGCTCTCAAAAAAAAATTTCAATCGTTGTACTATTGATATTTGTCTCTGTTGACTAATGAGTTTGCCGACCACTGCAGTAGGAGATGTGCAAGAGGCAGTCCATAGATGATTCTCTCATATCATCATTGATGTTTCTGTCTCTCTCTCTCCCTCTCTCCTTTCCTCTCTGAAATCAATAACAACAAAACACACATATTTAAAAAATGTTATTTAGCCCTAGCTGACTTGGTTCAATGGATAGAGCATCTGCCCGTGGACTGAAGGGTTCCGGGTTCGATTCCGGTCAAGGGCATGTACTGTACCTTGGTTGCAGGCTCCATCCTGGCCCTGGTCGGGGTGTGTGTGGGAGGCAACCAATCAATGTGTCTCTCTCACATCAATGTTTCTCTTTCTCTGTCTCTTCCCCCTCCCTTCCACTCTCTAAAAATCAACAGAAAAATATCCTCGGGTGAGGATTAAAAATAATAATAAATATAAAATAAAAAGATCACTTAAAAATGTTATTTAATTAAAAAGCACCCTAAGGCAATCAGACTTTTAAATTGATTTGATTGGTCTTTTGATTAATTGGGGTCTTGAGCTTATAACCTAAAAGCCCACACACAGAGAGAGAAAGAAAGAGCGAGAGAGAGAGAGGGCCCCTGATTAACTCACAGCTTTAAAGAAGCTGACATGAACTTTTCATATCTAAGGTCTATAAGGCTTTGGAGCTTGATGCCCTTTTTTTCCTTAACCCCTTAACACAAAGATGATTCCAAACTCACTGGTCCTCCTGTTAAAGCTCGTGCAGCACGCAGCTCCTCCTCCGGACCGCGATCTTGGAAGGAGGCTCTGTAGATCTCTGCAGTTTTAACGTTGACAGCTGTGAGGGACAACAGGATGACTGAGTTGATGAACGACAAACATGGGAAGTTTGCTCAGGCCTACAGTTCTCCCACCATACATAATAGAATATGGATAAGTCTCTCAAATACAGAATAGAATGAAAACTGAACAAAATTACTCTTAAATGTCTGTAGCTTCCTCCTTCCTGGAAAGGGACAATGCAATCTTTGAGCCAAGTACCTCACTCAAAATGGCTGAGACCTGAACTGAACTAGGTTCTGTAAGACTGTTCCAAACCAAGAGCCGGCCCCACAGGAAGACAATCTCTTCAGGCAGGTGCGTGGCAAGGACTTCCTGGTCAGCCCTGTGACCAAACGTGTCTGCAAATGGCTGGGGGTAGAGGGCCTGTGATCATGGCCAAGTCTGGTGTTTTTGTTTGTTTTCTAATTTTTACTATGCATTTCAAATATATATGTTACAGAAAACAAAATAACACATCTGTGTACCCACCACCACAACTAAATACATGAAGAATTACAGACATGGTAGAAGCCCTCTGCATTTCATCCTATACCTCTGGAGCAGTGGTTCTTAACCTGTGGGTCACGACCCCTTTGGGGGTTGAACGACCCTTTCACAGGGGTCACCTAAGACCATCGGAAAACACATATAATTACATATTGTTTTTGTGATGAATCACTATGCTTTGATTATGTTCAATTTGTAACAATGAAAATACATCCTGCATATCAGATATTTACATTACGATTCATAACAGTAGCAAAATTACAGTTATGAAGTAGCAACGAAAATAATTTTATGGTTGGGGGTCACCACAACATGAGGAACTGTATTAAAGGGTCGTGGCATTAGGAAGGTTGAGAACAACTGCTCTGGAGTCTTAAGAGACCATCCCGAAAGGGTGGAAGTTTCTGGATTTTCTCTAATCTGATAGTTTTACTTTCCTTCTCAATCAAAAGCTCCCTTGACTCCCTACATATAAGAAAATTATTATGCTCCACTCCAGCCGCTGCAGCCCTGGCTGGAGAAAAGCAGAGCTGGCCACCTCGGGAGAGAAGAGCGCCACTAACACTCCCATTGCTGGTGGCGCGGTCCGTGCTGTATAGGTGCTCCTGGCTCTCTCCTCCCGGTCTGGATGAGGACATTTTCTCTCTTTCAAAGATAATGCTTAGAGAAGATAAGCTACTTGCCCAGGGTCCCCAGCAAACACAGAAGAACTAAGGCTGTGACATGCTGACATCAGCGGGCTCACTAGCTCCTATCGCTGGAGCCTTACTTGTCAACATGTGGCCAGTTTCCAACTCTCAAACACTACTCACCAATGCCATAAATGATTGGAAAGTGGTTTTCGTTTTCTTCCCGGTCATTTAATTCTATCAAATAAACAAAAAAATTTTTAAGATCCAATTTTTAAGAAATACTAACCAACTGCTTTCATTTTGTAAAATAGAGGCCAAGAAGGAGCCCCCACTGCTAAAGGGGGGGGAAACAGACCATAAAAGGGATGGTTTTCCTGTTTCCTTGCTGAGTTTATACTGAACAAACGGCCACCTCCAGAGGTAGGGGCTCCCAGCCATCTACACGCTCAGCAGTCTCACACAAGGTGGCAGCTTCCACCTGGGGTGTGGCCCCTTCTCCTGCCCAGGAGTACAGACAGGCTTCTGAAAATCCCAGGGAAGGAAAGATGAGTGACACTGAAGCAGGTCAGCCTCTCAACTGAGGCTGCACAGGCTTTGGACACTGGGCAGGACCAGCAGACGGGAAAGCCTGAACAGAAGTTAGCAAAGCATCGGCAAATTGTCTTCTATGACTGAGGTACTGATGCTAGGTCCTGCTTGAAGGGGAGGGCGAAACGTCCCTGAAATCTACAACTTTATTTTGGAAGGACGGCAGAACGTACCTGTCACACACAATGTCACTAAGTGAATGTCATCTTCTTGTCTGTCAAATTCACCTACAATTAGAATTGTAAAACTGGCCATCAAAAAAGTTCCTGTAATTAGCAGAACATATGCTGAGCAAGTCACGAAGGGGACGGAGGGACGAAAGCCAGCTGAGCCATCTCTGTGCTACTACCCCTTCAGCCACCACCTGGCCTGCCAAGTTACAGCCATGTTCCTAGCCTCAAGCCCAAAGGAAACTGTGACCAAGGCTTTCCATTTCTCTCTTCATTTGGAGAGGTTTGGGAGGATAAAATGACTAAAGATTTTTACTCTTCCTAAGTAACGATTTTTCCTGTTATCATAGTCATAAAAAAATTGATCACTGCAAAAATTTGGAAATACAGGACAGTATAAGGAGTAATGGGTTTTTAATGGTAGAAGTAGATGGGATTTTAATGCCCATAATCTGTTAAGACGCTGTGTATTCCATACTTTTCCATGCACAGCTAAGCTCATAGCATGTACACATTTTATATTTAACAGCTACATAATTATTCCTTTACTAATGAACATTAATTTCCTGTTGTAAATGTTCTACTGCCCATCTATCTTTAGACATAAATTCTGTGCACCTTTCAGATCATTTTCTTAGAATAGATTCCCAGAAGGGGACTTACTGGGGTCCAAGGACATGAGCCTTTTTACGACTTTACCATGATGCCAAATGGCTTTCCCCACAGGTTGTACCAACGTATATTCCAGTACTGTGTCAATCTGTTACCTCACTGCCTCCTGGTTAACACAGAACATGTGTTTTTGAAAAAAATACTTGCTCACTGAGTAGGGAAAATATGGTATGATCGGTGTTCTCATTTTCTACATATTAAAACGGACATTTCTTCCTGGAGGGTGGTTCTGTTTTTACAAAATTCAGAGTATGTCAACTGCTGTCTTTAAAAAAAATCTTGTCCCATCCCATTAGCCCCTGAAAATGGAGCTGTACGCTGTTCAGTCTTGATGTCAGATTCCAAGCTGAGCAGTTTATGTCACTCCAGGAAGGCGTGCCCCTCTTGTATCCTCACTGGGACTCTTAGCCAAGCAATAATAGGTACAAATTTTTATCCAATTTGGGGGGGAAACAGGGAACTTACTAAGAAGTTGATGAGTAAGTTTTTGTGACAACTGCCTATCGTCACTGAAGCCGCCCACGAGGTGCACTTCCAGCCTGGCAAAGAGATGGGATGGTGGTCAGAAGCCAGTCAAGGCAGCGATTGTGCACTGGTTTGCTTTGCATGGTGCTTCCCAGCTTCAGGAGCCCTCGCTCTACAGAGCGCTTCTAGGCCCTGCTTGCGCCTCCCTGCACAGAGACCTGTGTGGCCCTGGGGTACATGGGGAGGCTGCCAAGGCCAGGCAAGCTTCTGGGGATCCTGCCCAGGAACCCTGATGGCTGAGCGCGTTTCTGTCTTACCACAAATGTGAGCCGCTCGAGGCAGAGGGTGTGGAACTCTGCTCAGGAAAAATATGCCTCTACACACTGTTTACCCACCCAAAGCAGGATACCTCTGAAAACCTCTTCAATGTCTCCACCAAAGAGGAACTGGGTGGAGGAGTGGGAAGGGAAGACAGCTTACGCTGTATAGCCCATTTTGTGGAGGGACTGCAGTGGACCTTCCACAGTGCTGTCTCCCCTAATGCCCACCTTTCCTGGAAAGACAGGAATGACCATCTCCATCCCACAGAGAGGGAACTGAGTCTCTGTCTACAGCACATGCTTATTATCCACTGTGTCCCCCTGAACGTTAGCTGCATGAGACAGAAAAACGTGTTCTTGGAGTTAAATAATTTGGGGAAATCTTGCCCAGTGTAACCCCTCCCTAGGAATCATAGTTCACACTAGCAAAGAAGAGCCTTAAGAAGTCCAACAGGTAGAAAAAAATAAACTTTGTTTAGTATGTGTTTCCCACTTGTCTGCTAACTACCTGTGCACAGCCTAAAACAGTGATGGCGAACCTATGACACATGTGTCAGAGGTGACACGCAAACTCATTTTTTTGGTTGATTTTTCTTTGTTAAATGGCATTTAAATATATAAAATAAATATCAAAAATATAAATCTTTGTTTTACTATGGTTGCAAATATCAAAAAATTTCTATATGTGACATGGCACCAGAGTTAAGTTAGGGTTTTTCAAACTGCTGCCCCACCAAGCTCAAAAGGTTCACCATCACTGGCCTAAAACAATCTGGGGACAAGTGCTTTGGAAAGTGCAGTTCGGTGGTTTGGTTCGGTGGATAGAGCATCAGCCTGTGGACTGAAGGGTCCCAGGTTCGATTCCGGTTAAGGGCATATGCCTGGGTTGCTGGCTCAATCCCAGTGGGGGGCATTCAGGAGGCAGCCAATCAATGATTCTCTCTCATCACTGATGTTTCTATCTCTCTTCTCCTCTCCCTTTCTCTCTGAAACAAATAAAAATATACTAAAAAAAAAAAAAAGTGCAGCTGTTATTCACATAGACGTGAGGAATGAACTGGAATCTCTGAGAAACCAGCACAGGGCCAAGCATCAAGCAGTCTCAAAATGAACATTTAAAGTAAGAGGAGCAGAGGTCACCATGGCTTTGCTCGACACTGGGCCACAGGGTGCAGCAAACCTTCCAGAGTGACCAAATCAATTCCATGACAGACCAGGGATATCTCACAACTGCGTGGCGAGAATCACGGAGTTGGGCCTGTGGCCAGATCCAGCTAAGTAATCCACGGCCCAATGAAAAGTCCATTCTGTGACTGCATAGATTGCACGCCAGTGAAGCAACACAGACAGAAGTAGAATTAAATTTAAAAATTGACCTTGTTGTACTAGTGAAACTGACAGAGGCTTTTTTTAAATCTTTGGGATTCTAAGAACTTGTATATGAATGGACTGCATTCAATGGCTGCAGTAGGCTTCAAGTAAAATGAGAGCAAAGTCTGCAAAGTCGGCCTGATGAGAGAGGAAAGTGGGGACGGGGGAGCAAGCACAGGTCAGACTGCAATGGGCCTACAACTAACTAGCTGTGTGACTCCAGGTCAGCTGAGCGTGTGTCAGCAACTGTGGAAAGGAGATGGTTACACTTCCTGTAACCGGTGAGAGGGTTAGATGCTGTGATGGATGGCCAGGTCAGACATCAGCTCTTGTAAGGAATCCCTGGTGAAACCACTGTTTTGCTGACATTTAAAACTGTACCCTCCTAGTCCCGCAGCTGTCTCCCGTTCCTTCTCTGCCTTTTTCCCACAGTCCTGTTTACCGTTTAACATCCTACTTTGCTTATTGAATGCCTCCTTGCTTTACAATATGAACACCATGGGGGCAGGTTTGGTCTACTCTGTCCACTGCTATGTCCTTGGCACCTATAACAAGTTCTTGCTCATACAGAGCATTCAGTAAATAATTGCTGAAGGAATAAATGAATGAAGGGATACTACATCTGGGGTATAACAAAGCAATGTCTGATATGTGAACATCTAAAAATACATTACTGAACATAAAACTACAGGTGCGAGGTCAAACCTTCCATTGACAATCCAGCATTGTTTCCCTGCCTGTACCCATCACCCACTCACTCACTCACCAAACAGGACAAGGGGTCATGCTGTGCCAAGCTCCGCTCCAGGGGAACAAGACAGCCACTGTGGTAGTGACATTCTGTGTTTCTGTGACAGCTTCCACAGCGATTTCCTCTACACAAGGGTGCAAAGTTCCCAATATCACAAAACAGTAGCGCGGAGCTCACCTTCCACATTGAGCGTGGTCGGAAAAGGACTTTATGGAGTTCATGATCAAGGGGACCTCAGCTTTGGTGTCAGTTCCATCACAATGTGTCAAGCAGGTAGCCCCATTACCTGAAGAACAAGGGTGAAATGACTCATGTTACTCTCGATGAGAACTCAGTAAGCAAGCCAACTCAATTCCTGTCCATTCGGACCACCTCATCTTGAATATCCTGTAAGGAAAAACAGAAACTGTGCTGCCCAGCCAACCCATTCTGACCAGGGCACAGGGAGGTACCATGCAGACCAGAGAAAAGGTGAGCGGAGTCAGGTTTCCAGTAGGACACCAGGACACGCAAATCGAGAAATTAATGGTCCCAAACTTGTTTGGTTTAAGTAATGATTTCCTTATCTCTCTCGCCATACCTGTGTGCCTCAGGACCACAATGTGACAAGTGGTGGCATCATCAGAACCCAGAATGGAGATGGAGCCTGTTTAAAAAAGAAATAAAATAAAATATCCAATAGCCTTTTGGGATAACGCCCAATTCACTGCTTCCTAACCTACCATCCTTTGGGGAGGTCACTGCAAGCTCTCTTTGCTGAACATACAGAAGGCCCTGGGGTCCCACTTGTTGAACAGACTGACCTCTGAGAAGTCTGGCTCTTTCCTGTTTAATTAAAAAAAAATAAAATAGTGATGGAAATTAGTGAGGATTGAGTAACTAGAGAGATGGAGAGAGCCAAAGTGTGCCCTAAGTGGGAAATACACACTTGTAGGTCTGAGGTGTGTGTATTATTTGACAGAAAGACTAAACTAAAAAGATAGCAATAGCTATCATGTGGAACAATGCAAAAAGCAACAACTAAGTCTTTTTCTCTTTTATCCTATAAAACAAGATTTTAGTGACTATGGAATAAGTTGCAAAAATCCTTTTTCACAGTTCCTTACTGAAGAATAGGAGGCTCTTAACGATTTTACAATTGTAAAGAGAATCAGACTGTATGGCCTAGTGCAGTGATGGCGAGCCTATGACACGCGTGTCAGAGGTGACACCCGAACTCATTTTTTTGGTTGATTTTTCTTTGTTAAATGGCATTTAAATATATAAAATAAATATCGAAAATATAAGTCTTTGTTTTACTATGGCTGCAAACATAAAAAAATTTCTATATGTGACACGGCACCAGAGTTAAGTTAGGGTTTTTCAAAATGCTGACACGCCGAGCTCAAAAGGTTCGCCATCACTGGCCTAGTGGATCAGTGGATCAGAAACCACATCCCCTCTTTACTTTCTTTAAAGAAGTAGAGGGGTTAAGACCTTCCCTAAACCCTAATCTGGTAATTCCACTCCTGGAAATCCTTAATGAGGAAATAATCCAAAATCCCTGTGTTATTTAGGATGGCAAAAAGCTGGGAGCAGCAACAAGAAAGATAAATAAATTATGCAGAACCAACTCACAACTACTAATTGTACGGTCATGGAAAATAAGGACTATGGGAAAATAGTTTTGAAATGTACAATGAAAAGCAAGATGCAAAATTATAAAATTTTAAAGCTATAAGTATACTATTAATACAACAATGCTAAAACATTACTGTACCTAGGAAAAAATACTGGAAGGAAATTCACCAATATGAGCATGGTTGTTAGAACAGGGCAAACTCAAGTAATTTAACTGGTGTTTTCTCTCTATTCTCTAAATCTTCTATGATATAGTTATGTTATTATTAAAGTAGAAAACCAAAAATGAACAAATCTATGAAAAGGATAGATTAATATTAGGTGTCCACATTTTGTCTGAGTATTTGTATAAATTCTTATGCAGTAAACCTGGGGGGGGGGGTTAAGTGGTTAAATTCTTGAATGAAAATATACATTTTTTTTCCAAAACTGTCAAATTGATACAACCCTAAGTATCATAATTTCCTTACTTGCAACAAATAAACTCAATGAAAAAGAATCTTATCCAGATGTGTAATATATGTATTGTCTAGACTGGAGAATGTTTTTATAATCTTACACAGGCTTCTTGCCATATCTCATATTGGTGAGAATTTAAGTTAGTACTTGCTAAAATAGATATAAAAAAGCATAATGATCAGCTTGATGACTTATACAGTGTCTTCTTTTTAATAAACTCCCATTAATTGGAAGCAAAACAGCAATTAGAATGAGACCAGCATGCAGAATTTAAGAAAGGAATTGAGAATTAAGTGAACTGCAATGAAGAACTGGATCCGCCCGGCACCTCTGCCTGCTGCAGAAGTCAATGAGAAATAAATGTGGCCGACTGTTCTGAAACTCAAAACACTCCTTATCAGGGAGCACTTTCATTTTCATACCACTTCTCAGCTCACCTCAGTTCAAAATAACAAAGGAGCATTCAGAATTTCCTTTTTATCATTCCTTTAATACTTACCTTAACTTTGTTCTTTTGGGAAAGGGAGAAGGAAGAGTAAAGGCAAATGTTTACCATGTCTTTTCATAACTGGGTCACCATCCAAAAGCAAAGCTACTTGTGAGATCTGATTACCACTCTCACACCCAAGACCAAAAATCAGGTCTTTTTGACACAGCTCCAGAGAAAAGCACCATGGATTGTTAGAAGAGAGAATGCCACAAGGCAGAAATGGTATGCTGCTTCTGTCTTCCACTTAAAGAAATAAAAAAAAGTTTAGCCAAAGTTCTCTGGGGGGAAACCCACAGCCAGCCCTACCTTATAAACTCACATCCTTTCTGATATAAAAATAGCCTCAGCTTCCTCAACTTTTGCTTTTCTCTGGACACTAAGATTCACTAATATATATATATATAATCTTTTCCATCGGCCTTTCTGTGTAACCCTCACCCTCAGTTCCCAATCCCTGGCCAATGGTGCGGGTCTCTTAACCCAGAGCTCAGCACTCCCTTTTCTGAAGGGCCAGACAGTAAGCGTTCGGGGCTTTGCAGACGGCACTGTAGCAAGAAAGGAGCGCAGCCCGCATGTAAACAAAAGGCTGTAGCTGTGTCCCCAAAAACCTTATTTATGGGAAATACCAAAATCTGAGTTTCATATAATTTCACGTCACCAAATATCAATCTTTTGATTTTTCTCCCACCCTTTAAAGTTTAATGTTAAAGCTCGAGAACTACCCACAGACAGGACTTGGCTTGTGCCTATGGTTCACTGCCTCCTGGGTCAGCCAATCACTGAGCTGTACCCTCGAGGACGGTCACTGAACCCTCACTCCTGCTGCATGTTGTCAGTTCTTCCCTCAAAAACAGGAGAGCAGGTCTAACAGGGCTTTGTGAACTGCAAAGCACGCCCTGTAAGAAATTACTATAACAGGTACAGCTCTCCAAACTGAGCCTTCTTTCCACTTGTGCTACCTTATTTCAGTCCTTCGAGGTCTCACACGTGAATTCCCACCACAGAATTTAGGAGCGGAAGATAGACAGCAAGACAATGGAGTCCCCTGCCTTCCACCGACTGAGCCTGGGCATGCTCCTGACTCTCCGTGCTCCCACCTCCTCCTCGGGGCAATGGGGATGATGCTGACCACCCCTTAGCTGTGTGAGGATTAACCGAGAGCAGGTTTGTAGGGAGTGGCTGTCACCATTCCTCCTCCTTGTTTCTTGGACCCCAAGGTCTCCTTTGCCCACTCTATCCTCCCCGATGGCTGCCAGCATTATTTCTTCAAAACACTGATTTTGTTACATCATTTCTCTGCTCCAAAAAAACCCCAAAAACCTTTCTGAGCCCAGCAATTTCATTTGACGGAATAATTATGGGGCTTAGGGTGATTTAGCTCTGTGACTTTTCATAATGAAAGAATCTTACATGCTTAAAAGGAGGAACAAAGTTACAGTGCATTCATACTGTGGAAGTCTACGGAACCATTTAACAAGGTGTTGCAGGACTGGTTACGGAGCATCCAGTGACTGGTTAAGAGCAAGACTCTAGACCAGTGGTTGGCAAACTCATTAGTCAACAGAGCCAAGTATCAACAGTACAACGACTGAAATTTCTTTTGAGAGCCAAATTTTTTAAACTTAAACTATATAGGTAGGTACATTGTTATTAACTTAATTAGGGTACTCCTAAGGCTTAGGAAGAGCCACACTCAAGGGGCCAAAGAGCCGCATGTGGCTCGCGAGCCGCCGTTTGCCGACCGCGGCTGAGTGGCAGCGGAAACTAAGGAGGAAATAAACAAATGGGACTACATCAAAATAAAAGCTTCCTGCACAGCAAAATATTAACTTAATTAGGGTACTCTAAAGGCTTAGGAAGAGCCACACTCAAGGGGCCAAAGAGCCACATGTGGCTCACGAGCCGCAGTTTGACGACCGCGGCTGGCAGTGCCGCCGGGTGGAACTTTGTGCAGTGATGGCAACATCTGTATCTGTGCTGTCTCAGACAGGAGCCACTAGCCACAGGTGGCTGTCGAGCACTTGACATGTGGTTAGTTTGACTGAGAAATTGATTTTTAAAGTTTATTTAATTTTAATTAACTTAAATGTAAACAGCCACATGTGGTTGGTGGCTACCATACTGAACAGTGCAGCTGGAGACCAAGGCAGACGGCCAGGGTTCCAATCCAAGTTACACCACTTACAGGATGGGGGACCTTGGGCAACTCACTCAGCCTCTCTGTGCCTCACAGTCATCACCTGTAAAATGGGAATAGTACTAACACCTACTTCACAGGGCAGTGGTGCTCAGCAAGTTCCACTACATCACTGTTATTTCTTAAAAACTGACTTTAGCCCTAGCTGGTTTGGCTCAGTGTATAGAGCGTCAGCCTATGGACTGAAGGGTCCCGGGTTCGATTCCGGTCAAGGACACATGCCGGGGTTGCGGTTTCAATCCCCAGTAGGGGGCATGCAGGAGGCAGCCAATCAATGATACTCTCTCATCACTGATGTTTCTATCTCTCTCCCTTCCTCTCTGAAATCAATAAAAATGTATTTTTTTAAAAAACTGACTTGAGAGAGAGAGAGAGAGAGGGGAAGCGAGAGAGAGAAACATCAATTTGCTGTTCCACCTATTTACACATTCACTGGTTGGCTCTTGTGTGTGCCCTGACCAGGGTTTAAACCTGCAACCTTGGCATATTGAAATGATGTTGCATTACTGTTATTATTTTATTATTCTATGCTAGGCATTGCTAGGGAGAGGCTTATACTTGCTGGAAATTCTTACAACATACTGTTACATGAAAAAGACAGAATATATAGTATGCTCTCATTTTTAAAAGTACATCACACACAAAGAAAAACCTCTATAAGAATATTTACTGAAATGTGAAGTGATTGTGGTCATAGATTATTCTTCTTTTTGACATTTACATTCTTTTTTTAATGAAGAGGATATACTAATAGGAAAATAGTTAAATCCTTCATTTCCCTCCATTGCTTATTTGTTGAAAGATCCATCCAAACCCCTCTAAACCAGGTATGACCTAGCTCTCCACTTATTTCCAGTCTGTCCCCTTCTCTGCACCAAGGAAACCGGCACCTGCCCGCAGGACCCTTCTTCTCCTACCCATCAGAGCACAGTCTTACTTGCCTCGCTAGAAAGCCCTCCCCTTCCCTTTTCAAGTCTCTCTCATACCTCCATCCTCCTGCCCTTAGACCAGCGGTTTAACAGTAGCAAAATTATAGTTACGAAGTAGCAACGAAAATAATTTTATGGTTGGGGGTCACCACAACATGAGGAACTGTATGAAAGGGTCGTGGCATTAGGAAGGTTGAGAACCACTGCCTTAGAATGATGCAAGTTAAAGTGACTGTCCCTCCTCCGTGTTCCTGTAATGTGAATTGGTCCCCACTACGAAGCCACGTCTCCCTAAATAGGCCAAACTTCCCTTGAAGAGGGGCCGGCCACCTGGTACAGTCCCACATCCCACTTCTCCACACTCAGTGTGCTGCCTTGGACACTGATCTAACTACCTATACATATAAAAGTCTAAGCGACCGCCAAAACTGGTTTGGCTCAGTGGATAGAGCGTCGGCCTGCGGACTGAAAGGTCCCAGGTTCGATTCCGGTCAAGGGCATGTACCTGGGTTGCAGGCACATCCCCAGTAGGAGATGTGCAGGAGGCAGCTGATCGATGTTTCTCTCTCATTGATGTTTCTAACTCTCTATCTCTCTCCCTTCCTCTCTGTAAAAAATCAATAAAATATATTTAAAAAAAAAAGTCTAAGCGACTGAACGACCAAATGACCAGTCGACAGGTCGCTATGACAGGCACTGACCACCAGGGGGCAGATACCCAACGCACAGGATCGGGCTCCCTCCTGCCTGGATTGGGCCTGCGGGGATCGGGCTGAAACCGGGCTCTCCAACATCCCCCAAGGAGTCCTGAATTGCAAGAGGGTGCAGGCCAGGCTGAGGGACCCCACCAGTGCACGAATCCGTGCACCAGGCCTCTATTTGTCATATAAATTTTCAGACATAAAAATAAGTGTCACATTAATTTTGTTAGGCAGCTGGAATATTTCCCCTTGGTGAGTCCTACTCCTGACGTCACTAGTTAATGGTGTGGCAGCGACACAGTACAAGGAAAGTGCTTAGCACAGTGCCCAGTGTCTGCTAAGTACTCAGGATGTGCTGACAACTATTACTATTGTTTTCTTGAAATGCAAGTTGAGAATCGCACAAATTGAGAATCCCCTTTTCCCTGTCAGTAACTCCTCCTCGTCCTTCGGGTCATCTGTTCACTCATTTCTTTATTTTTTAATATGTATATATTTTTTTATTTAGCGAGAAGGAAGTGGGAGAGAGAAAAACCTCAATGATGAAAGTCATTGATCCGCTGCCCCTGCAGGCCCCCTCCCCGGGATCACTCCGAGAGCCCAGCCTGTGCCCTGACCCGGAATCCAACCCGGACCTCCTGTTCCCAGGCCCACGCTCGGCCGCTCAGCCACCCCTGCTGGGCTGTTCGCTCATTTCAGTAACAAACACTGGCGGGAGCTTAGTCTGGGGCAGATTCAGAATAAACAAAAGCAGTAAGCAGACAAAGTCATTCCCAGCTGTACAGCTGCTGCAGAGGAGCTCTCAGGAGCACCGCCCTCCCGCAGCCCCCGGGGCAGCGCAGACTTCTGCGCCTCCGCCTCCGCCTCCGGCGGGAAGGGGGCATCTTTCTCCTTGGCACTTAGGTTACGGTCCCGGAGTGACTCGGTGATGAAAAGCCTTCCCCTCCCTAACTCCACCTTAAATGCCCTGG